TTTTCTACCACTAAACAGATTCTTAACACCAATAAATCTGATTTTTTTTCTTTTTCTTTTCTTTTTTTTTTTTTTGTTTTGGTGGTAGTGGTGGTGCTGGGGATGGAACCCAGGGCCTCATGCCTACTAGGCAAGCATCTTACTGCTGAGCTACACTTCTGAGCCCCACTCTCCCGGAAATGTTATGGAAGCAAATGTTTTCTGAGCTTTCATTCAGTGTTTGTGAACATTAAGTTCAGATACAGCTTTAATGCTACTTTGTTTTTTCCTCAAACACAATTCTTCATAAGACCTTCATTTTGTCAACTATAGTGATTTTTAGGCACTTAATGACCATATACTGGGAAAGAATGGCCCATCTCTACCCTGAGGGCAACACAGAGAAGCAGGTGATGTATGGGCCACCCATGTTGGGTGGTTGACCAGTTGCCCCCGGAGTATATCATTAACTGAGGTGGTGGGGGGAGTGTCTTTAAGACACAGCCTGAGGTTTCTTCTCCATGTCTCCTTTTCTTCCTACCATTAGCAAAGCCACTCAGACTTTCAGGAAGTTCTCTGGAGAGCTGCCTGCATATTTAGGTGACCCTGTCTGTGGAATTCTCAGAGCAAACATAGCAGCGCCCAGCTGGAACCTCTATGTGAGAGGCTAGAACTAGAATTTACTGGGGCTGGAGGGGGAGTCTCAAACCTTTTAGATTTTTAAATACACAGGAGACTCAAAATACAGTGTTATATTGAACACCAAAAGGAAAAAGATATGCTTGCTTGTTATCTTCTGCAGTACTTTTTTGCTGCTCTTGAAAGCTCATACCTAGATACACAAACCTTCTTGATATTCAGCTTTTGCATAGAAAGCGGATGCTAATACCTCATAGGATCAACAGAGGAAGAAGAAACATTTGGTGTAGTCAAAAAGAGGTATTTGGAAAATGTTCTTTGGCCCTATAGCCACACTTCTCATGTTTTTTTAGCTTTTAAATCTTGGCACCATTCTTCCATGATCAATATGATAATTTCCATCCTAAACAAACACTTACTTGTGTAGGAGAAGGAAATGGAGCCCTGGAACCTATTTCTGTTTTCCTCACTCTGTCCAAGAAAAGGCCAGTCAATCAACAGTTTTGTCTTCACTTGAAAAGTTAGTATTGGAAAGGTCTGAATCTGAGAGTGGAAAGGGCTAGGACTGGTGGGAGAGGCAGAAAGATGGTGACCCCAGGACACAAGGTAGGGATGGTTTCCCTCCTAGCTTGGTGGGAGCCTAAGGAGGCCACTGGCCAGGTGGTCCAGTCTGGCCTTGAACATTTAGATTGGATTAGAAACAAACACAGACACTGCTGGGGTGTGAATGCCAGTCATCCCACTGGCTGGATGGGTGACTTCATCTCTCTCTGATCAGTCTTCTCAGCTTTAGGGTACACAGGCTTTGTGAGGCACCCAAAATTAACACACATCACGAACTCAGTACCTGGTAAGTATCAAAAGTTCAGTACATGTTCTCTGTGATTGTCATCAGTATCAAGAGAGAGGTTTGCTGTGGAATTTGGATTGTCATCCCATTTACTATAGGTGGAGAGTTCACCCAACTCTGCTTAAGTGGCAACCTTAACAATTTCATTCTCTTCAATTCCATCTGCAGGCCCAGGTACAAATGGGATTCCTAAAAAATCTCTCTCTTTAAGTACTAAATAATTTTTCTTCAACCCACTTAAATATACTGAGTTTTTTTCCTGGGTTAGGTCTCACTGAGATGTGTTTATGATATCTGACAACAACCAGAATTTAAAAAATAAGATAACATTGAAACATGGATGGAGTACTCTCTTCTGCAAATAATTTTGGCTTCCTTCAGTTACCTACAACGCAAGTACTCATTTTAGAAAAGAATGCCACCAATTCCATTCTATTACATATGGCTTTCCAGTTTTCCCAGCACCATTTGTTGAAGAGGCTATCTTTTCGAAAATGTATATACTTATGGCCCCTTTGTCTAGTATGAGATGACCGTATTTATGTGGGTTTGTCTCTGTGTCTTCTGCATGTCTGTTTTGGCACCAATACCTTGCCTTTTTGTTACTATAGCTCTGTAGTATAATTTAAGGTCTGGTATTGTGATGCCTCCTGCACCACTTTTCTTGCTAAGGATTGCTTTGGTGGTCTGTGCCTCTTATTTTTACAAATGAATTTCATTCTTTTTTCTAAAGAATGTCATTGGAATTTTAATAGAAATTGTATTTGATCTGTATTGTGTTTTGTTAGTATGGTCATTTTGACAATATTAATTCTGCCTATCCAAGAACATGGGAGAGCTTTCTATCTTCTAAGGTCTTCTTCGATTTCTTTCTTTAGGGTTCTGTAGTTTTCATTGTAGAGGTCTTTCACCTCTTTTGTGATATTGATTCCCAAGTTCGTTCTTTCTTTCTTTCTTTCTTTCTTTCTTTCTTTCTTTCTTTCTTTCTTTCTTTCTTTCTTTCTTTTTTATTTTCTTTTCTCTTTTGAGGCTATTGTGAATGCAATAGCTTTCCTGATTTCTCTTTCAGCTGATCCATTATTGATGTGTGAATATCATCAATTTACAGGTGTTAATTTTATATTTGATTTACAGGATATAAAATTAATACCTGTAAATTGCTGAATTTGTTTATGAGTTCTAGAAGCTTTCTGATAGAGTTTTGGGGGTCTTCTAAATATAGAATTATGTCATTGGCAAATAGGGATAATTTGGGCTCTTCTTTTCCTATTCGTATCTCTTTAATTTCTTTCTTTTGTCTAATTGCTCTGGCTAGGGTTTCAAGGTCTATGTTGAACAGCAGTGGTGAAAGAGGGCATCCTGGTCTAGTTCTGGTTTTTAGAGGAAATGCTTTTAATTTTTCTCCATTTAGAATGATGAGATCCCATCTCACTCTAGTCAGAATGGCAACTATCAAGAATAAAAGTAACAATAAATGTTAGCAAAATATAGGAAAAAATGTTCACTCATACACTGCTGGTGGGACTGCAAACTGGTGCAACCACTATGGAAAGCAATATGGAGATTCCCTAGAAAACTTAGAATGGAACCACCATTCAACCCAGTTATCTTACATCTTGGTTTACACCCAAAGGACTTTCAATAAGCATACTACAGTGGTGACACAGCCACAACAATGTTTATAGCAGCACAATTCACAATGGCTAAGCTATGGAACCAACCTAGGTGCCCTTCAACAGATGAATGGATAAGGAAAACGTGGTACATTTACACAATGGAATATTACTCAGCCATAAATAAGAATGAAATTATGGCATTTGGTATGAAATTATGGTAGATGGATGGAACTGGAGAATATCATGGTAAGTGAAATAAGCCATTCCCAACAAACCAAAGGCTGAATATTCTCTATGATATGTGGATGTTAATACAAAATAAGGGGGTGGGGAGAAGAATAGAAGTTCATTGGATTAGACAAAGGAGAATGAAGGGCAGGGATGGGGGATGAGAATAGGAAAGAGAGTAGAATGAATCAGATATAACTTTCCTATGATAATATATGAGTACACAACCAGTGTAACTCCAGATCAAGTACAACCATAGAAATGGGAAATTATACTTCATGTATGTATAATATGTCAAAATACGCTCTACTGTCATGCATACCTGAAAAGAACAAATAAAAAGAAAAGAATGTCACCAAAATGGCTAACTATATTCTGCCTCATATGTAATTAAAACCTATTTGAGTCTTTTTTGAATGCCTGCAAGATTAGTATTTTTCAAGCTTCACTTACACTTAGAAAATCATGCAATAAATTATTTTTTAAAGTGTGCAGAATAGAAACTATTATTATGAATCCTATGCAGGGGAAGTCTTATTCTGCAAGATCTCTGTTTCTGTTTTCTATACCTAAGTAAATTTGATGGTATGGTTACACTGGGGTTGTGATATATTATTTTACTTATGTAGGTCCCAACCAAGAGCTTAACAAAGACTGTACTACTGGAAAGTTGGCACAAGTCCTTCACTTAAATTATTATTATTTCTCAGGGATTTTTTCTCAGTTCTTACTCATTGTAAATATACTTATGTTTTTCAAAAGGATAGCAACACCCAATCCAAGTTCTCCATTAACAAATCTCAGTAGCCTAACTGTGATAATGAATTGTATTCCCCCTTTAGACTTTGTGAAGGTGCCAATGTGAACCGGTTTGCCCCGGCAATCACTACTTCATCATTATAACCAACTTGATTCTACAAATATTTGTAAATTGCCTACAATGTACCATAGTTGATAGGAAGGAATAACAGCTGCAAGGAGCTCACCCAGTAGATCCTTGAGAAGAAAGACATGGAACCCACTCCGCCTTGCTCTCCCAGGCTGTTTCTCGTGGAGGAATCTAGTTATAAAAACTGACAATAGTTGGGTGTGGTGGCACAGGCTTGGGAGACTGGGGCAGGATTGTGAGTTCAAAGCCAGCCTCAGCAATTTAGCGAGGCCCTAAGCAACTTAGGAAGACCCTGTCTCAAAATAAAATATAAAAAGGGCTCAGTGGTTAAGCACCTCTGGGTTCAATCCCCAGTACCAAAAACCACCCCCCAAAAAACAAAACAAAAAACAAAATGAACAATGTGTAGCTGCATGAAAAAGCACAAGTTCATGTTTTTACTTTGCAATAAAAGAAAAAACACATACCAACTACTTCATAAAAATCACTCATTTGGTAATAAATTACATATTATGTATATTATATATATGCTAGCTGTAGGGTGTTGTTGGAAGACTATATATATATATCTTTATTGTTTGCTAAATTTTCTCCTTATTTATCCTGGTTACTAGTACATTGTCCATTGTGTGTGTTGCAAATGATCCCTCCTTGTTTGTCCTTGGCCTTCTGTGGACCTGAAGCTCCCTGCAGGAGCTTACTCAATATGTCCTTCATGTTTTCTACAAAACATGCCTAGAAGAGTAGAAGACAAGTACCTGATAGCTATTGTTGATAAAAAAAGTACAGAAGATTTTACCTTGGAGGAACTGGTAGCCTGGGGCACAGTGAGTTTGCATTTGGATTCCGGGTGTAGTTGAAGGAATTCAAGTTATAGATGCACAGGAAAGACCCTGAAAGCAGAAGACACAGACAGTACTATTTTCCTATATTAGACCCATTTTCCTGGAGGAAACCACTAAAGAAATCACAGCATTTTGCCAAGCCAGAAGGAGATGGAATACATTACCTGGATTTAGGAACCTGGTGACTTAAAAACAAAATGAATAAACACACAATTTTAGATTGAGTTAGGGCCTCTTTTCTCTCTCTCTTCAAAACCACAAATTTAAAACTAAACATTAAATGATTGGTACTAAAATGATTTGAAGGATATTTGAAGATAATTTATTACAGGAGCTTGATATTTTTAATTTGGCTTTGCAAATAATTTTTTAAAATCTGGCATTGTATTGCTCAGGCAGATAAAATTTGCAGTGGGCTGCCTCACATTCCTTTTCCTTCCTTTGTTTGTTTAATTCTTAAAACAAAAATCTGAACCAGTGAGTCCAGAGCAAGTATTTCAGCTACATGAATGCTTTTGGTACAGTTTATGGTTATTCAACAAGTTAACAAAAGTATCTACCGGCCCTAACAATTTCATCAAAGAACCAACTTGTAGGCAATTCGACCTGAAGCCTCAGGCCTTAAGAATCTGCTGTCTCTTAGGTGGTAGTGGTACATGCTTATACTCCCAGCAACTCCAGAGGCTTGCAAGTTTCTAGATGTTCATCAGGAGGATTGCAAGCGCAAGGTCAGCCTCAACAACTTAGACTGCATCTCATAATAAAAAGTCTGGGGAGGTAGTTTAGTGGGAGAGTGCTTATGGGTCCAATCCTCAGTACAACGAAAAATAAAACTTTTTAAAAAAGATATAATTTTAAAAAAGAGTCTGCTGTCTCTTTTGTGCTCTCTGTGGAAGACCACTTTGCTGCAGGGAGCAGGAAGCAGGCGCCAAACAGCCTAGGTTTCATAAATCCAGAGAGGCTGGAATGAAATTGAATAAGCTCATGAGAAAATGTTTAAGGCCTTTTCCACACAAGATGAGGCACCTCCAAAGAAGTAGCTTTCCAGAGAAAGCAGGGTCAGGCTAAATTACCCCATCTAGGTCCCCACAGGTTACTCCACTGTGGGAGGGTGTGGCAGGGAGAGCAAACTGGCCCCTTGGTGCCTACCACTGGTGTTTGCAAAGAGCTGAACCTCTTCCAAGGTGTTGAGCTGCTCTTCAGGACAGCTGGACACGCAGAGGGCAGTGGAACCAAGCTTCCTATCTTTGATATCCGGTTTGCAGGAATTCATAAAGAACACATGTCTAAGGAGACAAATGAAGCAGAAGCATGTCTTAGAGCATGGCCTCTCATTGGATCTAACTGTAGACTTTAAAAAGTATCTACATACTGCCAACTATGAGAATTACTAAGGCGAACTTTTAATCAAATGCGTCAGCATCACTGAATGTATATTATGCCAATCAGGGGTCATCTACATAGGAGCACAGCTTGTGAACCATACTCAAATGTTAACAAAACTTTCCTTCTCCAGATTTAGCATTTTCAGGGCATAATTCTGGGAGGTACCTGAGGGAGAGAAGGCGTTAGTTAAACTGCCCATAGATTGCCAGATATGGATGCATGAAGTACTCACTGGCATCCCTGCCAACTATATCCCACCCAAGAGTGTTCAAATAAACTCCAGAGAACAGCTGAACACAGAATACAGGGAAGTGACACATGGAAAGGAGAAAGTGGCCAATGTTGGGAACTAAGCGCAGTTTAAGAGCCAGGATATTTAGAAGACCCTGCCTACAGCTACCCAGCGGCTGGGTAAGATAGGGCAAAGAACAAAATTAGGCCCAGCAATCTGGTGCATGCCTGTAATCTCAGTGGCTCAGGAGGCTGAGGCAGGAAGATCACAAGTTCAAAGTCAGCCTCAGTAATTTAGGGAGGTTCTAAGCAACTTAGAAAGACCCTGTCTCTAAACTAAGGGGAAAAAAAGCTGGGGTGTGGCTCAGTGGCCAAATGCCCCTGGGTTCAATCCCCAGCCCCAAACAAAACAAAACAACAACAACAAAATAACTGGTATTACCATTCGTGGTTCATTTGCAGGCAGTGGCAGCTCTTGGGCCACTGTCTAACACATATCCAGGCGGCTGAAATCAGGAATGTCAAAGGAAGAGCCCTGTAGGCTGTCTGCTATGGGAGAGGCCTTGAGAAAGGGTCTCAGAAGCCACTTTCCCTCCAGCTGGGGATGGCAGGAAGGGAGGTGGTGCACAAAGAGAAGGGGGACCCATCTCCTGGGTGTTTGGAAAATAGATATTTTGTTTTTAAAAATTTTTAAATTGTGCTAAAATAGACATAGAATTTACCATCTTGGTCATTTACAGTCAGGTCTGTGGCATTAAGTACACTCACTGTGCGGCCACCACATGTTGCCATCCCCACCGTCCATCACAGACCTCTTTCCCTCTGGCAAAATGGAAACTCTGTTCCCAGTAGACAGTCACTCCCCATTCTCCCTGCTCCTCCCCTGGCAACCATGCTATTCCTGTTTCTGAGGATGACTACTTTAGCTACCTCTTAAATGGAATCCCCCTTCCTTTTATTTCTATTACATTATAGAAAATATCGGTAACAACATTTTTTGTGCCCTAGCTATTGCAGTTATCCTTAGGCAAGCTGTGAGATGGGTATAATAATTACAAACTGGGCTCAGAGAGGCTAAGGATTCTGCCCAAGGCCACAGAGCTCGAAAACAGCAGAGGTTGAAGCTGCACCTAGGACGGCACAGCTGCACCCTCACCATCGCGGACACACACACACACACACACACACACACACACACACACACACACACAGGACCCTCCTGCTAATGAGTCCCTCTATTGGTTGGGGACTTAACTCCGACACTTACTTTTTTAGGGTCATGTCTTGACCTGAAAGAGGGGCCCCTTCCACTGGGGCGTTCCTCTTGCCGCACACATTGCCAAAGCTGTCATAGCCAAACAGGAGTCTTGCTGTGGCTCCAGCCACTGCCGAGTAGCCCATGATGAACATCTAGAAAAGCCCAGGGACACAAAAGCAGCAGAGGTTGAAGCTACACCTAGGACGGCACAGCTGCACCCTCACCAGCCCACAGGACGCAAGACATGGTGCCCCTGTCCCCGAAGATGTCGATATAAGATGGAATCAGGTGAAACACAAATCTCTCCAGCTCCCCAGCAGTTCCCTCCTTTAGAAGCAACAACTGAATCTGCTTAGTATCCTGCCATTTGAGTCTGGGTTTTAGCAGGTTAGGTGTGGTGGGGGGTAGCAACCTGAAACACGTAGATTCCTCTCCATTTTCTTACCTCTTCACCTTCTGACTTTCTTCAGGAATCTGTCAATTTTTGTTTTTTGACACATTTCACTGGGTCAACTAATTTTTTTTTTCCCTTGAGGTTTTTGGTTTATCTAAGTGCATCAAGGCCAGGCTCATTATTTCCCCCAAGTTTTCTTTCTTTCTTCTTAAAAAATTTTTTTGGGAGGGTCTTTTAGTGATCTTTGTAAAGGTCACAGTTGAAGTGGATTAAAATATTATTTACAAGAAGCCTTAAAATAGTGTTTTGGAGTAACTGCTTAAATTTACAAAATAGAGAACTTAAGAAAAAGAATTTCAGGAATTCTGTTAGACACAAATATTTTGCAATCAATAGTCTTTTTTTTTTTTTTGTACTGGGGATTGAACCCAGGGGGACTTGACCACTGGGCTACATCCACAGTCTTTTAATTTTTAAATTTTATTATAAGACAGAGTCTTGCAAAGTTGCTGAGAGTTTCACTAAGTTGCTCAGGGTGACTTCCAACTTGAAGTCCTCCTTCCTTAGCTGGGACTATAGGCTTGAGGCCTCCATACCAGGCTTGATGGTCATTTTTATCTAATTTTATAGTGAATGTGGAATATTTGAAATTTCAGTTCAAACAACTATTCATTGGTATGCATTACCAGGCCTTCTGCCAATATTGAATATGTTTCTTCCCATAACACAAATTTAGTGTTGCTAGTTTCCCAAAATACAACACCTACTTAGAATACTGTTTAGTATTTGATGCAAACAAGCTCATTGTGGGACCGAGTATATAGTATACCACTCAGTAACATGCCATATGGATATATGTTCCTAAGGGGTATCCAAAGTCAAATATATTTCAGAGATTCTGCTTTCAATACTAATTTGGAAGTAAAAGTACCAAACATTCTTTAAGTGTCAAGTGTGTTCCAGAGACTCTGTTGGAGTATCCAAGGATGAACAAAACATAGTCCCTGTCCTCAAGAAACTCAGCTTAGAGGATATGGGGTAAAAGGTACACTCTTACATTGCCAGTGGGACTGAAAATTGGTGCAACACTCTGGAAAGCATGAGGATTCTTTGAAAACTTGGAATCGAACCACCATTTGATCCAGCTATCCCACTCCTTGGTTTATACCCAAAGGACTTAATATCAGTATAATACAATTTATAGTATATCAATGTTTATGGCAGCTCAAATCACAATAGCTAAGCTAGGGAACTAGCCTAGGAGCCCTTCAACAGATATTTGAATGGATAAAGAAAATGTGGTACATATACACAATGGAATATTACTGAGCCTTAAAGAAGAATGAAATTTTGGCACTTGCCAGTAAATGGATGGAACTGGAGAATATCATGCTAAGCAAAATAAGCCAATCCCAAAGAACCAAAGGCTGAATGTTTTCTCTAATATGTGGATGCTAATTCACAATAAAGTGGGGTGGTTAGGGAAGAATAGAGGTACTTTGGATTAGACAGAGAGGAATAAAAAGAGGCAAGGGGGTGTGGAAGTAGGAATGACAGTAGAATATATTGGACATGATTACCCTATGTGCATATATGATTACACAACAGGTGTAACTCTACTTCATGTACAACCAGAAGAATGAGAAGTTATACTCCATTTATGTATGATGTGTCAAAATGCAATCTATGTCATGTAAAACTAATAAAAAATAAAAAACTAATGAAACTAATAAAAAATAAAACAAAATAAAATAAAAAGAAACTTAGCCTAGAAAAGAGTAGGACTTTTCAGCTCAGACCTTGAGCTTCCCGCTCCTGCACTTTCCAGGGTTCTCTGTGATCTGAGACCAGATTTGAGAATGAGTAGATCATTCATTGAGAATGAGTAGGTCCCCTTACTAGTAGACAGGCTGTCACTCATTTAAAGGCTGTGGATGTAGAGATGACTCTGTGCCCACAAAGCTGGCATGGGAAGCTTACCCAGCAACGACATGCCCACCTCCTGTCCTTCTGACTTGCAGCACAGTAAATAAGGTCCTGATTGCATTTGGACTCAGGGGGAAGAGAAGGGTTTTATACTTCTACACAGCTCACTAGACACCTAATTATGAAGTGATATTTTTCATTTGCCATGAGAGTGTATGTGATCTCTTCATTGGAAAGCTTGTGGGGAGGAATAGAAAGTTTTTAGGAGGAAGTAGGAATAGGATTTGAGTTTTCCTGAGTCCCTGCCATAACACAACTAGTACCCTAAACCATCATTGTTCTAATTGCAAACACACATGTGCAATTGCACTTGAGAGGTGATATAGGAGGTTGTGGCCACCAAAGAGATTACTATCAATGTGCATGGGGGATATTAGGGAAATGGAGACTTGAAATATGAATAGAAAAGGACAAGGTGGGAGGGTATCGTGGGGAGGTAAGTAGAAGCAGAGTTGACCCAGAGTTGGAGATGTTCTGTTCTGTGTATTTTATGCAAACATAAGCACTAGCTGGTGCTTTTCCTATCTGCAAGAGACCATAGTTGTAATTCAGACATCTTCCCCCAAGCCTTTATTGTCTAGCCCAAACTCAGGGCAGCACCATCAATAATAATCCTGTCTAGTATATCACCCGTTAGAACATCTGTCACAAGACAAGAAGCAGATCCACAAAGACAGGGGGGAAAAAAACCTTTTTCTGTATTTTAAATATGTTTTGTGGCTAAAAATGTTGCAGAAGCTACAAAAAGTTAACCAAGAAAGGACTCTCCTTATATCTGAACTCAGTGAAGAGAACTTGGATATATGGAAACCTTCAGATTTATTCTGCAGATACAGTGTAATTTTAAAGCACTTTCTAGCTTCATGTCATGTTTCATGGTTCATAATTCTTCAGGCTGTAGTGGACCATCTATAAATCCTTCCCACAGACAGTTGCTGGGCTGAGATTTGGAAGTGATGTATTAGCTTTGAACCATAAAGGGGTTAGGGAAGATCGCTAAATGACAATAGCAGTCCAAAGTCAAAGCTGCCAGGGACAAGGCAGGACAGCTGCTCCCAGCACGGATACAATAGCAGATCCAGATAAAAGCACCTGCCATCTGTGGGGAAGGGAGGCAGAAAGTGTTGTAGGTGCACTGTCTCTCTCAGCTCCTTGAGGCCATGGTATAAATAGCATCAGCAACAACATAAAATTGGTATGCCTTTCAGGCCAACCTGCCACTGTGCCTGTAATCCAGTCTGGCTATGTGAAACCAGTCTGCAAAGTCAACAAGTGAACACATGAATGCTTTTCTTACTTAGAACAATGAACATGATATTTTAGGGTCTATTCTAATTGAACTCTTTCAACAAAGATAGTTACTAACTGGTAGTTATTATCAGGTTTTATAAATTAATCATTTACCATGCAGCAAATAGCATGCCTCAACATGGCATGGAAAAAATTTCAAGAACATGGCCTTTGAAAAAAGTTGAGTGAGACTTTTTCTGCTGCACTTACAACTCTAAAATAAGTATAAATGTGTCAAGGTTCAGCTTCCAAGAGACTCTCCCAGGACTAACATGGCACAGCCGGATGAGGTCTACCAGCAACTACCTGGAAACTAGAGTGGGAACAGTTATTACCTACTTACCTAAAGGGCTCATTCTGAGATACTAAACACAATATGCCAAGAGTGTGTATGCATTTCAGAGAAAACAAAAGTAATGTATTTCTAGGCTCTCTCTGGATTTACCTTTGTTAGAGGCTAGCAAAAGCTTGAGGAATATTTGATTTAGGGGTTTGACAGAAGGTAAGAGAACTTCCACTCAGAGAGCTCAGATAAGATACTACACAATGATCCCACAGCAAACTTACTACACAATGATCCCACAGCAAACTCTGATTTTCAGTTTCCTAATGGAGTTAACTAGTGGAGCCTGCAGCAAAACAGCCTCCGCAGCAAGTGCCAGACAAGAATTCCCCAGGACTAAGGTTCATTCTGTGCTAATGACAGAAGTTTTTCATTGCAGCATAAACTTTAAGCAATTAACGTTTGAGGCACATTTATTTCGGAACACACATACTGGCCTCTTCCCTGACAAGCAGCTACGCTTACCAAACCGGTCCAGAAGAAAAAGAACAGGAACAGCCATACTGTATCTGTGCATTTCCTATAAATCTGGGGTCGCCACTCTCTTTGCCTGGGAGCTCTCTCTTCAGAAACCTTCCAGAAAAAAAGGAGAGGTGAGAAAAAGAATAAACAACCAAGTAGACACCCAACCTCACAGAGCGGATGTTAAATCCCCAGCCACCAAGTTCTTAACCTGGAGGTGCACCTGACCACAGTCCCCCTGTCCCACCCCGCGGCCAGAGTCTCCCTCATCTCTGCCCCAGCACCTGAGTGGGGACCCAGAGTCCTCCTGGCCAGGGGCCCTTGGGGTATGGAGGTGCCTGACCAGAGGCTTATCCCCGAGGGCTGGGGGCAGCAGTGTCCCGGCAGGGCAGGTGGCAGGTGCCTGCAGGAATCAGCCTCGACTCCTCCCTCCGGGTTCTAATCCGAGAGCCAAAGTTGCAGGCACTCACCAGGTACTCGGCGCCCAGGCACTGCATCGTGTCCTCGGTGGCTCGGTTGGGGACTCCGAGCGGCCGCGGCCGCAGTACGCGCAGAGCCCAGACGCCCCGGGCCGGTCCGCCGAGGAGGGGCGGAGGGCGCAGTGCTGCACAGCGGCCGCCTCCGCGCGCCCTGCGCTGGGCCCTGGGCGCCTTCCCCCGCGGCCCTGGGTTGAGATCCGCCTTTTCTCTGCCTTGATTTCCTGCTTAGCTCTTTCCTCTGTGGCGGGCGTCCTGTCCTGTTTGGAGAAGAGGTCCAGGACACCTCGTGCTGGCCGGATCAACCACCTGCGCGGCAGCGGCGCCCAGGATGTCGCCTAACCTCTGCAAGCGCCACGGCCGGGGCAGAGCCTGCCTCGCCACGACCCAGGGCTGGCCCTCCTGTGGCCTGATGAAGGTGTTCTGCCAGGGCAGTGAGCAGGAAGTGAAGTCTCACCTCATTGTCCTGCGGGGTGGGGAAGTTAGAGCGGTGTGTGACAGGTGAGCAGCAATTACTGTGTGCCATATTCTGCTGTGCCCACTTTACAGGCATTCTTCAATAACCACCAGGCGGAAGCTACTGTTACCCCCAATCTACAGGTGAGGAAAACAGAGGCACAGAACAGCGGTGTTGTAATTTGAGGAGATGCAGCTAGGAAGTTGTAGAGAGGCAAGAACTGAACTCAGCCCTCCAAGAGGCAGGCTCTCCAGGTGGCTCCTCCAGCAACACTTCGGTGTCTCCCCTGCAGCTTCTGTTTCTATAGGACGGGTTTCTATAGGAGGCTGCCAGGCTGTCTCCCCACTGTCCACCCTAGAGAATCGCGGGTTCCGGGTACTACAGTGAGAACCGAACCTGCAGAGCCTGGAGACTGCCTTAATTCTTGAGTGTGTGGGAGGCGGCTGGGACCAAGTATTTTAGATTCCGGCCTCACCTCTCCCTGCATTGTGTCCGGTTGATCATTGCCTGACTTTACAGTTGAAATGTCAGCAACCCCTGAAGCAAGGGCGGGCAGGGCAGTTTTCCGGGTCACATCCAGATCAGCAGAGAAGTGCTGCTGGGGTGAGGATTAATAAAAACAACTGTAGATGATCGCCTCTCCCTGTCCCCCTTTCTCCACGCAACACTTGTGTCTTTCCTCCAAGCCCTCAGGGCTGCTAGATCATTGTTTACTTTCAGTGTGGCTTCTTCGAACATGTATGTGTGTGTGTGTGTGTGTGTGTGTGTGTGTGAGAGAGAGAGAGAGAGAGAGAGAGAGAGAGAGAGAGAGAGAGAATGAATGCTAGCAAGCGAGCACTGGGGATTGAACCTAGGGCCTACCACACTTTAAGCATGCGACCTGCCACTAAGCTGCATCAGAAACCTAACTGCATTTCTTGGAAATGAAGTTTTTTCCTTAAAATAAAATTACAGCCCAAATTTTATTTTTATTATATGAGACTTATTATATTGTGCTTCTTTCAAAACTTGCCAGTTGAGCTAGATTAGATTTAAAGACAGCTAGTATTAAAACATTCTTGTAGTGATATATTTACTTAATTTGTGTCCATTTTTACTGGGTTGTAAATATATATTCTTGAAAGGTAAATTGTAGTTCTTAAGATGTATGCTTTTCACATTGACATATATTTGTATCAGAGATATTTGTCTTGGTTTGTCATAAATGGTTACTGTCAGATCAGGCGGGGGAGGCTTTATTGAGATATCACTCCCAGGCGGAACTGGATCAGACCCACAGAGGGAACAGGACTTCTCCTGGGTCTGAGGAGAAACCACATGGAAGCTAAAGGGGACTGGACTTTTATGGGGCTTACAGCAGGAAGGGAAGAGCTTGGGACAGGAAAAGGTGTTTCTAGGGTCCCTTGCCCCCTTGGAGTTGGTCAGGGGAGTTGGCTGAACTCCAGGATTGGCCAGGGAGTCCTGCTGATTGACAGGCGTTTCCGCCGGCATCTGATTGATGTTCTTTTCCTGTGTGGCTGCTTTGTTCTAAGTTGCCACTAAGTCGCCACTAAGTCTCCACCACCGACCTAACAGTTACAACCAATGTCAAATCTATAGAGACCAAAAGTTTCTTAGTAGATCATTCAAACTTAGTTTGCTCATTTGTCTATAGCTCTGGTATTCAGCCAGAAATGGAACAGAGGTGAGACATATAAAATGCTGAATAAAGTTATAATTTAGAAAAATGGTGGAGGAGTCTCTGGAAGGCAGTTTCAGTAGCTCTCCAAGGCCAGGTCTTTTTACCAATATGACCCTTGTTTTTCTCATAATTAAAAACTCATTGAGCCTTGAGTTCTTTCTTCCCATTCCTAAGCCAACTAATTACTTTGCATATAAAGGTACTGACTGCTGGCCTCAGGTCATTTTGCTTTCTTTGGCTATTTGTATTATTATTTTTTAATTTTATTTTTTATTCTAATTTGTTATATATGACAGCACAATGCATTACAATTCATATTACACATATAGAGCACATTTTTTCATATTTCTGGTTGTATACAAAGTATATGTACACCATTCATGTCTTCTAACTGGTATAAATTTAACTGTTAAAGAGTTAGTGTGCTTATTTAATTAAACATTATAAACTGAAAATGTAGTCAGTATTGCTATGGTATGGAAAAAAGGGTTATATTGATTAATATTAATATATAAATGTGACTTGTACAATATCTATACAATGCCAAACTGAATGGAAAAAAATTAAAAAGCTTAGAGATACCAAATATCTGAGTATTTACAAATATTTAAACTGATATTCCCTAAATTGTCAGTGATTATAGTAATAAATGCAAAAATGATTTGGTGAAATGTATGATTCCTTGTCTGTATATCTATCATAATGTTTATACAAGTTATTTGCATGGGAAGGTGAAGAAAAATGTATATATTTTTGCATAATACAAGGACAATTATTTCATTTGTGTTTTACTTTCCTTATTAATACAAGCTGAGGATCACTAGGTATGAGACTGAATTTACAAAATTTAGCACATCCTCAGTTGTTTAGAATATTCTAGTACAAGCTTTTTTTTTTTTTTTTTAATTAAGGAGCAGAGTTAAAATAGATAAATAAACCTAAGTTTAAAAAGAAAAGAAATCCAACTGCAGATCCAGAAACTTTTTTCTGTGCTCATTGGGTGTCCCTGGATGCATTTTATCAGACAGAGGTAGCTGAACATCCAGGGGGACACAAATTCACAGGACAAACAAGTAGACAAGGATCACCACTATTAAAATGTCACAGCTGAATAACATTAATCTACCAGAAACTGAACCAATGGACCCAGAGTTGTAAATACACAATAAATGTCTTTAAGGCGATGACATACGATAATAGCAACATGAGGCAGGAAAAAATACCAGGAAACTAAACCAAACAGATATTAGGCATGAAGAATATAATGATTAGAATGACTGTTTATTACTTTGATTTATTAATAATGTGGAACAAATAGTAGAATAGATGCAACTGAAGATGAATTAGTAATTGGAAGAACAGTTTCAACAACTCTTCAGAGTTTGAATAAGGTAGCTCATTTGAAAATTTTCCAATGTATCCAGGATAGATGTAGAACAGAAAAGGAGTGATAAGAAAGTGAAGAGGAGAAAATACTTGAAGATATACTGGAGATAAATTCCGAAGTTGAAAGAAAGAAATCAGTATCATATGGAAAGGGCACACTCTATCTATCTATCTACACACACACACACACACACACACACACACACACAAATATATCTTTTTTTAAGAGAGAGAGAGAGAATTTTTTTATATTTATTTTTTAATTTTCTGTGGACACAACATCTTTATTTTATTTTTATGTAGTGCTGAGGATCGAACCCAGCGCCCGTTGCATGGTGCTACCCTTGAGCCACATCCCCAGCCCCCATATATATTTTACATATAAAAATATTTATGCATAATAATGATAATTTTGAATGCATTATTTTCTATTATACATGTAATCTTCTACTATGAAATGTAAGGATATCATAAAAATATTAATGTGAAGACCCAATTGGAGGATATTCTTGGAGGAAGTAATCAGACAAGAAGAAAAAACAAACTTGGGATGAAACTATAGATATAGCAAGAGAGCGACACAATATTCAGGATAAATTTACTGTTGTCTTAGAAGAAAGGCTAGGATATATATATAAATAACTAGGAACAACACAAATATGCAGGAATTGGTGAATGGCACAGACTGTGAGACCTCTGTAGAATGGAATGCCTTTCAGCATAAGAAAGGAACAAACATATAGGCAGCGAAACGGGGTGGGTCTCAAAACCATGTCAAATGAAAGAAGCCAGGTGTAGTAAACAATTCTATGATTCCCACTTTTGTGACATTCTGAAAAAGGCAAAAGTACAGGGATAGAAAATAGATCAGTACTTGTCAGATGCTGGGGTGAGGAGCCTGAGGGAACTTTCTGAAGTGATGGAAATAATCTATCATGTAGTGATTACCCAGTGGTATCTGTCAAATTTACAGAATTAGACACTATAAGGGGTGCATTTTATTGTAGGTACACTGTTTTTATTAGAATGGGCTTTTTTAAACTAAAAAAAAATTGTTACAAAGAAGAGTATATCCATAACAACCCAGAACTAAAATCCTAGGCAGCACTAATATTGTGCAGGGCATGGGATTCAGAGAGAAGTGAAGGCCACAGCAACACCTCAGTGGTTTAAGAAGTGCTACTTACAGGGTGTTCACCAGGTATGTGTGTTAATGGTTCTCCATGAGATAAGGAGCTGATACCAGACGCAAATCGGCTATGTCACAGCAAACTCCGGTTCACTGGACATTACTTTTATAGAAAGACATTCTTGCTATGAAGAAAGGGTGTGTTGATTTGTATCCAGACTCAAGACCCTTGTTTCATCCTAGAAAGGTACTTTCTCTGACTAGTACTAGGTTAGACTACTATCTTATTTAGGAGGAAGATGAGACTATAGATCATTTTAAAACATTGATAGAAATGAATATTTAATATTTATAAATTTAGATTTTAAGGGTAGCTCCGTAAAAAGAAAAATAGATTATATATAATCTATATGGGTATACATGTATATAATCTATATACATATATAATCTATATATGGAGAATGTGTGTGTGTGTGTGTGTGTGTGTGTGTGTGTGTGTGTGTGTTTTCTTGTGGGAGAAATCTGGGGATTGGACCTAGGAGTATACTACCTCTGAGCTATATCCCCATCTCTTTTTGAAAATTTTGTTTTGAGATAGAGACCTACTAAGTTTACCAGGCTGGCCTAGAACTTGCAATTCTCCTGCCTCAGTCTCCCAAGTAGCTGGGGTTACAGGTGTGTGCCACTGTGCCCACTTTTGAATATTTAACTTGTTTTTTTTTTAAAGGTTTATTTGTTTTATTTTTGGTATTGGAGATTGAACTCAGGTACACTTAACCACTGAATCAGA